GTCACACAACATTGCATACATATAATTTTAAGTTGTATCTCAGCAAACACAAACTGAATTGGTGTTTGCTGGGACATTTTGTAATTTTTAAAATAGAAATTCCTGATTTTTATATAAATTAAAATAACTGATAAAGACATGGAAAAGTATGCCTGATATTTAATATTACCAAGTGCCATAAATTTAATAATCTTTTATCAAAATTTATAATTTGGAATCTTACCGTTCGGAAGTGTTTTTACGCCAAGCCGCAAATAGATCTACAGATTTCTTGATACATTCCGGTTTATTTAACTTGCAAGTCCATTGAAGAATCATTTCCCGATTTAACTTATCTAAATGCTCATCATTTTCGCGATCATCAAAACCTATATTATCATATATCTCAGATAATAAATCCAACACATATTCATTTAGCTCCTTTTGAAAAAAGTGCTGATCAAGTCTTTCATGAATATATGATAGACCGTTGAAGAATGCCTTCCAGGGCAAATGATTTGTCTCTTGTCTCAAATATTTCGATGCATTCATCAGTAATTCGTAATCTACGTAATTAGCGTGAGCCAAGTTAAAAAGATCGTCTATAATTTGTGCACGATTCAAGACATTAATATCTTCGAATCCTTTATCATTTAGCTTATTGATTAATGCTTTCCATGAAGAAGTATCGTAATTAACACGGTAGAAGCCAGTTTGCTTGTAATTCACGAGGAACCAATTATTAGTACGATTAAGATTAATATACATTCTCTCCGGTTTTGAGCTTAACCATATTTTGCACATTGAAGATACATTAGTAAATATATTGAATGGACCGAATATATCAATTGGTATCCAATAAATTTCATTGCCAGAGATATTTCTATTTATTAGAAACCGTTCCTGCAACGCAACACGTTAGAATTAGAATTTTAAAAAGAGATATTAGAGAAAATATGTTAAAAAAAGATCAGCTGAATAAAACTGTATAATGTTACCTGAGTTAGAGTTAGTACGTCATTATTTACTGTAGCATTTACGACGGGATATCCCGATTGATTTATCCACGTATTCATAATTCTTTCGATGCCTGTATTTTTAATTGGCGTCGATACAAACGATTCGAAGCTTCTCCATAAATCCGCAGGACGTACAGTACGATAATACATTTGTTTCGTTAAATTACCGAATGCCCATATGTGAGCTTCTTGGTCAAATGCATTAAAAATCATTCGTAAGATACAAGCGGCTGAAATACATATAAAATTTTTAATGTTAAATATTAATAATTAAAGTATTTTTAGCAAAATATTGAGCTTCCAGCAAATATCAATACATATACGTATATGAACTACTTAAATAAAACAAAACATCATTATGATATTAATTAATTTTATAATAATTAGTTTGTAATAATAAATTTTATAATATTAACAATTTTGCATTTTGCAAAAATTTTTATATGTTTAGTGTTACTTATTTTATTACATATTTTAATTATTGCAATACAATACAATATATACATGACAAAGAGAGAAAGAGAGAGAGATTTTAAACATACATCTCTCATCGTAAGTAGCGTAGTCAAAAACAATTTTTTCTTTTGGTATTTCGACAGGATACGTCATTGTGTGTGATAAAATCGGAGCAACTTTTGATAGAGCAGGATGTAGCTCGTAAACCACGAATTGATCCATGAACTTGAAATCGGGACGTATCTAAGCAGAAGATGCAAATAAAAATTATTATATTTGTTATATATAATATCTGTATTCTCTTTGAACACTTTTACTTGAACAATGGTAGCAACTTTATAATTAATTGGCACGTTCTTTTAAAAATTTGGTAACATGTTAAAAGTGAGAAAATTAAATGTTGATTTCTGGAGTTTAGCAAAAAAAAAAAGAAAAATTAGACTTGTTGCATTTCAAAGAAGAAAATTCCACTTAGAAGTAAAAACTGTAGTCTTTTTCTTATACAATTATTATAGTTATTACGTACTCGATCAGATGTAAACCATTGGAAATATTGCATGAAACCTTTGTTGAGCCAAACATAATCCGACCAGTCGCAAATGAGATTTCCGAACCACATATGAGTCAGTTCTTTCGCTATTATGGTGATTATAGATTTTTCGCATGAGGATGTAATTGTTTCCTTATTATAGAAAAGTTCGTATTCACTGATGAAGAATTATCAGATTATTTAATATAAAAAACTAAATATATAAGATCTAAATAGATACCGCGTAAATTGATATTTATGTATTCCAACATTTGTTAAGAAAAAATAATAATATTACTCTAAAGTAGCAAGGCCCCAGTTTTCCATTGCGCCCAGGAAGAAATCTGGAATTCCTATCAAGTCCAGCTTAGGTAAAGCATAGTTGATCATCATAATTTTCTGCAACTCGTTAATAAGCTGTGTACCAATATCTTGAGCGTATTGGCCATATGTCGCAATTTCTGGTCTACCCCATATATTGAAAGTTCCACTTTCAAGATTATTTACAGGTTTAAACTCAGAGACAACAAATGCTATCAGATATGTCGGCATAGCATTACTAGTATGGAATGTATCCAACACATAGATATTGTTGCTAAGTAACGGATATAATTGTAATAACATAGAGTAATATTTAATAATAAATAATTAAAAAAAAAAACATAATAACATAAAGTTGCTGATTTATATATAGTATTTAAAAAATTATAAAAAATATATATATATCTTATAATTTTTTATCAATTAAACTAAAAAGGCAGCACTTTTTTTAATCTGCATTTTCGGAAAACGGTCTGTTCACCGAGCGATTGATTCCTACTACCAATAGATCAATTACGTTCAATCACTATACGTTCATACTATCTCACAAGCAAAACTGCATTCTAAAATATATCATCAAAATAAAAAGTGTTGCAATCTTTTAGTTGATAACTATACTACACAGGCATTTTGGATCTACAGTTTAAAGCCGATTCCGAACGGCAATGGATGAAATAGTAATATTGTTTTTTTAAGAGAGGTTTTCGAGGCAACGGATACTCTTGGTGGTTTGCCGGACCTCCGAAGAAGAGAGCGTATGAAAATTTGTTAGTTCTCCAAGAATCCAGGTAGCATTTTGAAAACGTTTCTGAGTGGTTAAAATGTCCACTCGAAAAACGTTTAAAGAAACGTTTCTTTTTGGTAAAAAAAAAAAAAAACGTAGAGAAATATA